GATTAAGCTGAGACTGAAGAAGTCACTTGGATGAGTGACGAAACGTTTCTCCCACAAAACGCTACGTCCAGATGAACAGAATCAACTTTTGGAGATGCCCGTCACCTTCAGCTCTCTCCCTTCTCCCTTCCTTTTTTTGGTACTTCTATGTTGGAGTCTTAATGTTTCTTAGGGTTGTGATCGATTGCCGGCCAACCCTTTGACTCTGGAAAAAAGGTTGACTTTCATTCAAAGCCAGCAATGTTGGAAGAATCAGGTCAGGACACAGTCCAAAGTTGCCTTTATAACACCTAAGTGATTTCTCGCTACTTCTCGCTACTCGATACTCTTCGATTTAGGCAATGGTGCTGTCTGCACCGTGCATACACTTGTTTGCTGTAAATTCACTGGACAGCTACCTGCTCATGTTGATGCGGTTGAACATCAAACAGTTTTCATATTATGCTACAGGCACTTGCAATCTTATTGCCTTTGATACGGTTGCTTCGAACATGGAGACCTGGTCTGCGACTGCTGCTGTCTTTAAGGTAGCTTTGGTGCATCCAGACGGCGATAAATACGGAGTTGGTCTGCTATGAGTTTGTGATCAAGTTGGCAATCGCATGCAATCTCTTTGTGATAATACCATGGTTACTCTGGTAAATCAGAAAAAAGCTACTTATTGCTGTCTGTTTAATATATTTTGCCCTTTATATACAAAGAAATTGACACTAAACAAAACCTCACCTATTTGAAACAGAGGTTTAGAAATTCCTCCACTAATAGTGACACAGGCACTCAGCAGCCTTGCTTTTATATACAAATATAACCAGAATACAGTTGAATTGAGTCTCTTATTGTAAAAAAAACTTAAAGGTAGCCCTCATTGGCATGGACTGACTCAGACTGATTGCAATGTGTTGGCAGTGTGTTTCCTAATGGCAAGGAGATCGACTTCCTGTTTTTACTCTACTGAGACTGAGCAATTTGGCAGGAGAAGCAGACTGGAGACTATTTACTGTCAACAGACATGCATTGCACATTTGCATTGCCAAGTGGATCTCAAAGAGAAGACGAAGAAGTCTGAGAAAGTTTTCTGCAGCCTTAACAACACTTGAGGTTGATGCTTGACAGTTTTTCCTCTTATGTCTCTGAACGAATGTCTGCCGGCCTTGACTCACAGAAAAGCAAGTCTTTGTACTGGTAGCAACGCAGTAATATTCTGTTCCTAAGAAAGTACTTTTAACATTTTATCATGCAAATATGGATGAGCATCAAGTGTTGTGCTCATTCGTGATAAGCGTCCTACAGTTGTCACCTCGGGTTACAGCGCCCCACCTCGAGCGTACAAACTGCGGGTGCAGGCTGAATGCCTCTCCCTGAAGGAGATAGGCCTGTGTCTTCAGCTGCAGATGACAGCTGGCTTTGCGAGCAGCCGAGTCAAGCTGTGCAGAATTGATAAAGCGGAGTGCCTCTTTTGCCCCTCTGTCAGGTAATGTGTTTTTGTTCTCCTGGGAGTAAGTGTGGTTGGTAGCCAGTGTGCCACCAGCCATCTGTAATCCAATTACCCTTCTACGGGACAAGCTTCGCCATCAGCTGCTGGTCATCCACACACCAACATGAAAGCAGATGTTACACATGCATTGTGTTTTGCTTCCTAAGAAACCAGTGAGCTCTTAACTCACTTTTGGTCACAACATGAATCTGACAATCCATCATTTTCCTGCAGCATGACTTAAAGTCTTAATATCCAACTCCCTCATCAGTTATTACTCCAGGTGCCTGACAGATTTTCCCCTGTCTCGCACTTTCACTTACCTGAGCAGCTGACATAGTACAACCTGCATAAATTCCTTTCAAACTCCTTGACGTTAATCTTTTTACCAAGATAAATCTTCTAACGTTAGGGCTCACAATTTATTTCAGTACAGGGTTACTTAAGGGAAAGAAGTCACACTGCCAGCACCCGGATATCCCTGCAGGAAGGGTCTTTTTTTTCTCTCTTGACAGTTAATTGTAGAGCTTTGCAACGTTGGCTTTACATGTACTTGCCAAGGTGGAGATAATGTGTGGAGTGGGAGATCTGTTATTTCCTCGGGTGGCTTTTTTAGCTGCTCTGGTGCTGATTCTTCTTCCTTTGTTATGTTTGGTGTGGCACCAAAGTGAATATGCTATAGCCCTCCCGCTGCCACATACACCTTCTGTCATTAAAAATAGGCTGCTGTTCGCTCGGGACAGATTTCACCTTCTTTGCGTTTGCTGGAGCAGAGCTCTCACATTTTTTGACAGGAAAAGCAGGAGAGGAGGTAGTGACACACACACACACATACACACAGAGTAGTTAAACTTTTATAGACCTAGACACACTTTTATACCTGATGGCAGGCTACACTTGAACAAACCCACACTCTTAGGCTGTCATAAGTTGCGCACAATCCACCCCGACTGTCTTTGCATTAGCTTCGGCGTCCATCCGTTCAACGTATTCTGCTCGCGTAGCGTGGCTTGTCTGCTTTCATGTTAGGACTCACTTTGAGTCTTAACCCCATTGGATGTAATCAGAAAAGTGAGTCTGTAATCCCGCTGTTTCATCTTCTTAATAAGCCCTAACACTGCTATTATTAATTCACCGTGTCAGTTTATGGTTACTCTTTTTTACCGGCGATGTTTTATTTATGCAGCTCGACATCACTTCTCTGACTTTCTGACTGAATTATTCATGTCGGATAACAATTAATGCGTGTGTGCTCACGAGGAAGAGGGTGCAACTCTTTCCATTTTTGTTGATTTGTTTGTCAGCACATCACCTCATCACAGAGTCTTGCTGTGTAACACTGATGTAATGGTTTTTGGTGTCTGCCCTGGCAGCTTTACCTTTTCTTCCTTTTGCAGGAGTGTTGTTAGTTCCCCTTTGTAAAAGCAAATGTAAAAACGCCACTTGCCCTAGAAGTAGCTTTAGAGAATGATGGAGGCGTGAATGTGGTATTAAAGAAAATTAGTGTAATTGGACTCAATAAAATGCCTTCTGCAAGCTTATGCATGCCCAGCACAATGTGAAAAGGTAAAGAAGAAGAAGATAGAACCTTCTGATTTTTTATTCCTGTTAATACTAATTCAGATGGCTGTTTGGTAGCATGATAGATGGGATGGTGTGAGGTAATAGAGCAGTAAATACAGATTCTCAAAGCTTCTTGTTCACGTCTACCTTGTCTTGTCTCTAGTTTGGGAGAACAGAGGTGATAGACAACACGCTAAACCCAGACTTTGTCAGGAAGTACATCCTGGACTACTTCTTCGAGGAGAAGCAGAATCTGCGCTTTGACGTGTGAGTTATTCTATTTGATCCATTTCGCTGAGGACACACACTGAGGTTTTTTTTTGTTATGCCACCCTCTTCTCCAGTTCTTCATTTATTTCCAACACAGCATCTTCTTAACATCCTCTCCCTTAGCGTGCTTCCTTGTCCCCCATCTATCTCATCATCCCTTCTCCCCTTTTTCCTGCCTGTCATTTTCTCTCAAAGTCACTCTTTTTCTATCTTCTCTTGCTCGTCATCAGCTTGAGTCTCTCCCAAGGAATTATTCATTGGTGCAGTGTCTCAGTAGTCATTCGTTGAGTGGAGATTGGTATAAGGTGATAAATATTTCATATAAAGTTTTATCCTTAATCTCCCCGCTGCTAAGAAAAGCAAATGTCTGAAAGCAAGTCCCATAAAACTCACAAAGGCCGCTGTCCTGGCGTTCCTCTGTTGAAAAGGCCTGACTAGTGAAAGGGTCAGGAAGGTGCAGCTTCATTTTGAGGTCTCTCAGAACAGAATCAGGATAATTTCTCCACCCCCCTTCTTCCTGCAGGATTGGAGATGTTCTTTCAAAAATCCATATCCGCCGAAGCATGAATTCCCTGGTGGACTTCTAGGATGTTTCCAGGACTGCGTCGAAGGTCTCTGAGGAGTTTTAGACACTTAATGAATTAATTTGGTGCAAGACTGGGACAGTAAAGGAGGGACTGCACTCCCTCACAATCTGCGTTACTCATTTACATCTCTCTTTCATCACAGAGGTGGGAGGCAGGGCGTGCTCAGATTTAATTACTTTTCCATTAAGTTTGACTGGCAGATGCTCCAAACCTACTCTCCTTTGGTGGATTGTTTCAGTACGTGCCCCCTGGCAGAGAGTGGAAATTACATTCATAAACTATAGAATGACTTCCTTAATTAACTGTCACATTACTGCTTACGTGTTTCTTCCCCCCTCCCCATTTTTTCTTTTTTTTTTGGGCTAGGCGGCTCTCCCCCGGTGTGTGATCGACAGACAAAAAGTGTCCACGCCGCAGTCACTTTCCTTTAATTAGCACCAGCACAAAAAAAAATCTTCTGTTGTCGTGCCCACGCGCTAACCTCTGCCTTTTGTGGTCTCTTTGTGCTTTCAGGTATGATATTGATTCTAAAAGTCCAGATCTGGCAAAGCACGTAAGTGAAAAACTTTTCTAAGAGTCGGGAGCTCAGCTTTACTTCATACACAACCCTTCAGTCGTCAGTGCATGTGATATTTAGGTTCTATGCAAACCAAAGTTTGTAGCATCTAAATGCTCAAATATATTCAGAAATAATGAGTGAATTGTGCTTCATCTGCCAAAATGTTGTTTGTTATTATTATGACTTTTTTTTTAGATAAAATGAGCTATATTATTCCTCTGGAGCGATAATAATCAAACTTTCATTTGCATCTGGCATAGACTCATTACTTTTTTTTCTCTTTTAAATGAGAAATGAAGCATTGCACATCATTATCAAAGCTATTCAACACATTTCCCTGTGTGCGCCGTGGTGCTCTTTGCAGCTGCGAATTTTGATTTCCAAGACAGCCAATTTTTCTAAACAGTATCTATTTATTTTAAAATGGCAGGACTGTCTGAAAGGCGAGGTCCTTTGTTGTGCAGCATACATTCGAGAGAACAGCTCATTAAGGTGAATGTATGTTAGTGCCGCCTTTTATGCTGAAAGCTTTGATAGATAAACTCATACAATGCAGACACAAAACAATATATTTGCAGCACTTGGTTTGCATACTGCCAAAATGCTCATCATCAAATGTGTCACGTGACGCTTTGTTGTTGCGCTTTTGCATTGTATGATGTGTGTCTCCGTCACCTTCCTTCTTTTGCGCTCTTTCGCTCTCCTGTTCGCTTCCTGTGAGGCTCTGGGACTCTTTACCCTCTGCTGTTCTCATTCTGCCTCTCTGCTCTCTCGCATTTTCACTTTTGCTCTTCTTTCTCGCACTTTGTTGATGACAGTCTGGTATTTGAGTCATGTGTCTTCTGTTCCATGATATGCTCTGTTGTGTCACTGCTGCTGCCTGGTCTCTCTCTCTTCTTCCTCCTCCTCCTTCTTCACCCCGGAAGCCAACCGAATTTAACGTACGTGTCTGCCTCAGACGTCCTAATTAATAACTGTACAATGCTGACAATTATGCTAAACTCCTCACGGCCTCTCCTTGTTACCCCCCGTGATCCATTTGAATGTTCCCGTCCTACGTCTCTCTCTCGATCCCACTTTATGCCCTCCTCCCCATGGCAGGACTTCCTGGGACAGGTCTTCTGTACGCTGGGAGAGATCGTGGGCTCACCTGCCAGTCGCTTGGAGAAACCGCTCGGGTGAGTGGAGATTTCACAGTGTTCAGTTTGCAGAGTTGTGCGACAAGAATGGTAGGCTCTCAGTGTTTTTTAAATGGAAGTAGACAAAGAGCAGTTTTAATTTGGAAGTTTTCAGATACGAGATAATGAAAACTCAGTGCCACCTCTCAGCCTATTCAGTCACAGCATGGCTCTTCTGTTGGATTTCATCCATGCCGGCGAAGCTGCCATCTCCCTTCTAGAGCCATCTTTATTGTACATTACAGTGTGAGATTAGACCAATGTGCTTGGATGGGAATGGGTAATTGAACATGACCAGGGGCTTCCACAATACAATTACTGTCATTAGGGAGGTGATCTAGCTCTAAGAGTGGATTGAAGTCAGCAGGAGACACATGACACTATCAGCTCCTTAGTGTAAACTGGGAAATAAGAAAGCCTGAAGCACTTGGCACCCACAGACCTGTGTGCAGCTCTTTGAGTTATGTGTCTTTTTGAGAGTGCGAAGGAGGGTTTGACACACTGTGAAGCCTGTGTTGGTGTGTGAGACCATGAGTGCAAAATATATGCCTCTATGTGAAGTATGAGGCGGTGCTGGCCCCGGCAGCGGGGGGGTTTGTGAGAACAGCAGGGCTTTGGTGTCGACCACGAACTCAGCCAGGGACCGGGGGTTGGGGATTACAGAGCTCGGTGCCCTTCAGTGTTGAATAAGAGGATGAGCAGGATCAAGAGACAGTGTTCGCCAGTGTGCTGTAAACTAGGCTTCACACCTCACATCAGAGACAGGGAGGAGGATCAGGAGCCCCAGGCACACACGATGGAGAAAAGTATTGATTCCTCAACCTCAGCAGGGTACCTTGATCATTGCTGAGAGGGTGATGATGATCATAAGTTTGATGTTACAGTCCACAATTTATAAAATCAAGAAATGAGCCCCTGTGAAAACGTTCACTTGGGTTGCTATTAGCTGTCCCTTTCAAGTTTGGAAGTAACAATTCACGAAGTGCAAGAACAGTGAAGGTTTCTTTTGATTCTTTTCAACTCCATGACACTCAGTTAAGGGTGCAGTTTTCATCTGCCCTCTTTTTTTATTTGGATAGTTAAATAACGTGCATGAGAAACATAGTTTTTCTCCCCTCCTGTGATAGACGACATCCCAGAAGTTGTTTAATGGCTTTGTGCTCCATTTCCTTGTCATACATCCTAAAGTGACACTGTTTCTCTGCGCCATAGCTTTGAGGAACGGCTCCTGCAGGGACTGAGGAAATCTGTTAGTCATGCTTAAAGGAGCCCTCCCAAGGCACGCTGCATTCAATGACCTGCTTAAGAAGCACATCAGCACCCCTTTCCCTATTTTCCAGACTTCATCTTTCATTTATTCGTCTTCCTTCCATCTACCAGATTCTTTTCTTCTGGCTTGACCCCTTTTTTCTTCATCGTGTTCTTTATTCCTTTTGTTCTTCCCGACCTCTCCCTCTTTTTCTTTCTGCTCCAACCAGCACGCAAGCATAAATCAAAGCCTAAAACTTACCCAGAATTTTGATTTTAAATCTAAAGTCAATTCTAACTCCTCCGCCTCCCTTTTTAAAACTTTTTTAGGACCTAACTGTGTGTTTACAGATTCATATGCAATCAGCTTGGAAGATATGTGGCTTCAACTCTTTCCTCTACAGCTATACAATATACCAGTAGTATTTTCCTGGCTAGCAAGAGGATAGAGGCAAGCTATTTTGGCATTTTCACCCATGCTGACAGATAGTAGAGACAGATGGAAAATATGGATAGAGAGAGAACATTGACACTGGAGATGAGGAGCAAAGCTGGTTTGCCAGCCGTTGACATTTAGCCTCACTTTCCCAGTGTTTACATAGCTGAAAAACTATAGTCAGTCAGTTAGTATTCTGACAAAGAGAGCAGGCTAATATACAGAGTGACCTCCTTAAAATGAGAAATATGAGATCTTATCTATAACTGAAAAAACTGCATATAGGTGCTTCACAGTTCAGTTAAATAAAATATAACATCACATCACATCCTTCCCTCCACTTGCCAAGGGTGCAAAACTCCCGCGAACACTTTTGGTTCCTTTCTCAGGGAGTGCTGCTAGCTTGAGAGACACACATATCTGAGCTAAGATTAGCACATTGATGCATGCTGCTTAAGTATAGAAAGAGAGTTTACAGAAAATCAAAATGCAAACACAGTAATATACCTTATGTGTCGTGTCCGTCATTCATGCTACTGCACACAGAGGTCCAACAACTCCTGTAAAGGCAATTGTATGGAACAGACCAGTGGTTCATTACAGACACAGTGGTACAAATACTTCCGTTTATAATCTGTTTTTAATGAGAGGCATGCATCAAAATTATTGGTGTAGGAAGAAATGTCAAGCTGAGTGACTGATGGGGTGAATGGCTTCTTTGAAAAAAAAAACCCACATGGGTGCTGTGACACAGCTTTCTTAGCTTTGATTGTTTTTGTGTTGTTGTTGTTGTTGTTTTGCCTGCAGGAACAAATCACAATATAGTTGTGTAGGCACCATAATAATAGTGTTAATTTAAAAAAATAGCTGTAACCTTTCCTGTCAGTATGGTGAAATATACCACACACAGTATGTTTGTACAGCATATAAATGCAGCACAAGATTAGCATGCTAAACCCATTAGCCTACCCTTACTGTGCCCTTCTGCTGCATGCTTAAAGCTGGAAATGAAACATAAGGAAGAGTACGACTGCTGCGGGTGTGCCGATCAACCCACACAGGGAGGGAGGAAAGCTGGAAATATACAAAAATAACATATCAAAGGCATGCATGTGGAACTGAATAAATTGAGAGCTCACATAAAAGCTCACCTGACCTGTTTTCCTGTGGGAAAACCAACGCCTTCAAAGGAATAATGATGTTTTTCCAGCACTGAATACAGAAGGATAACT